TCAATTTTTTGCCAAAATTATATAACATTCCGGCTTGGATTGAGATATTTGCGTATCAATATTTTCCATAAAGAAGTTGAAGCAAACAAATTTTGCCATCATGATCATCCAAGCGAGAAAATAACTCAGACTACCACAGACAAATCATAGAAATATTTTAGCTTCACCACTTAGGTTCCTGGCTTCACTGAGTCTAATGCATGCAGAGGTCGGCTTTTGTATCCCGTAGTGTAGTTTTGTGTGTGAAATGTGATCTATTTAATAATAATAAAATAAGTAAATAATGAATAGGATTTAGCAGTGGCATTCATCCACTGMATTCCAATAGTCCCTTTCACAGTTCCCTGCGCAGACTTCAAAGGTAGCCGTGTCTTTGCATGATAGCGAGACGAACGGTGAGCTTGCAATGATAGAGACATTTTTTAAACACCTTGGACAATTATTCACATGTCTCTATCATTGCAAGCTCACCGTTCGTCTCGCTACCATGCAAAGGCAAGGCTACCTTTCAAGATGGCGCAGGGAACTGTGAAGGGGACTATTGGAATTTACAAGTTAAATTTTTGCGTGGGAAGGGGAGGGGGGACGGGAGAACCTGAAGAAAAACCATTGAAGAACAGGAGAGAACCAAAAACAAGTAACTCTACTCACATACGACACCGAGTCCGGGAATCGCACCTAGAATCGCCTTATGGTGAAATGCGAGCGCTAAAGAAATTCATGGAATTTTAAGGTTATCAGTGTAGATGTATATCTTGTTARAACAAATTGTTGAACCGAGTAAACTGATTTGACCTATATTTAGGCTGCTTCGGGCTATACTTGATACAGCAGATAAACATAAGCTTCATATTTGTGAATCAGTATTGTGTACTACAACAACTTTATCTGTACTTTACTTAAGAATAGAACATCAAGTGTCGATGAAGACAGAAAAAAACTAGTAAAAAAAAGGTTAACCTGGAATGATGTATGCATCAATCTTTGTGTAGCATTCATTGAACTAAAAACAATCAAACATCTATATGTATTTAGTAACCCAAGTATTTAATGCTATAGTTTTATTCATTGCGTGGGAGAAATGCTACCGTCTGACGTGTGGGACCCCACCCTGGATAGGAACTGCGGCTAGTTGGATGGCGTTATGAATAATGAATATAGGATGCACTTACTTTTTGAATGATAAAAAAGGCCCTTGTTAATTTGACAATTCAATTCTGCTCTCTGGCCCGGAATGTGTGGTACAAAAACAAACCCTACTCTTCAGTGCACATCCGTATAACGTTATCATCCCGAGCGGTCATTTCCTTCAATCCCTTAACCACAAGTCACATAGCCAATCTTTTTGTATAAGCTTGACCGCGGAGTTTAAACTAAAGTTAATTGCATGTTTTCTGATCTTTTGTTATAAAACATGTCATATCGCTTTACTTTAGATAACCACTCTTCACTCGGATCGAAAACATGTGTCCATGCATTGGCACTGCTTTCATCAAATTTTGACACGCGTATGTTTGACTCTCTTTGTTTCTCCTGTCGCAGCTTCAACGCATAGTTTTGTCGAGAATACCCCCTGACGTTCAATAGATCTTTTTAAGCTTTGGAGTATCATATTTTTCAGTCCTACTTCGATCAGAGACGTATAATAAAGAATAAAAATATCGTAATTCTTTAGTGGCGAACGAGCCCTGCTATATGTTTTATATATTTCAGGTTAAAAATCACTCTAACAAATGACTATATTTTGTGATAATCGAGTTCAATAATTGTTTTATCATCCAAATTATTAGTTTTCTCCCTTTCTTTTCGTGCTTTGCTTGTTTCTATCTATCAACAAACAACAGGTTATTACCATGTGAGCCACAACCGAGTTCTAACACTAATACTAATACTTTGTGGGTTATAACATTCAGCTATTCAACCAAAACCCGTGGTATTTTAATCAACTCGTATTGTTCCGTAGTGCATTGCGATCGAGGCTAAGACTGAGAAAAGGCGAACTCGAAATGGGGGGATTGTATTATCATTCAAGCTATTATTTTTTCACTCTCTCTTTTTGTGCTTTAGGTATGGAGTTTTTGTTATGTTTTAAGCATACTAGTTTGTCACAAAGAAGCGAGCCATGTTGACAAATAAAGAATTACTGCGCATGAGCAGACGTTTTTGTTTTTTCTTCTTTTCGTTTTGTTTTGTTTTGTTTTGTTTTGTTTTGTTTTGTTTTGTTTTTGTTTTTTGTTTTTTTGCAGCAAAATGGCCTCTTCCTCACGTTCCGGATATTTTTGAAAACGGATTTTTTTTATTCGCCAGAAGGCCTTTAAAACGCGCATTTGTTGTTGTTGTTGTTGTTTGTTTTGTTTTTTTTTTTTTGTTTTTTTTGTTTTTTGTTTTTTGTTTTTGATAAAGATTTGTAAAGTGACGTGTGAACGAGAATTGCTCTGAAAACGGAATAAAAAAAAGAAGCTTTCATATTCGGAAACATGTAGACGAGTCCAAAGTTATACAACGTAAAATTGAATTGCACAAATGCAAGTACGTAGTTAAATGCGTTGAAGTCTTCTCAGAGAGTGACTGTGCATGTATTATAATAATGACTTCCACGAGCTCTACATAAATTACAATTTATTCCAACATACGTTTTATGAGTTTATTTAATCGCGTGGAGCGAAGTGCCACGATAACTTCATAAACAGGTGTAAATCTCGCAGTGATAACAACACATCTCTTGTTGACCTATATAGTAAGCGGTAATATATCCCGTCTGTCCGCCTCACCTTACACCTTTCGATTGCTGCAGACATGTTTTTTATTTTCATTTTTTGAACTTGTAAGGCGTTAGGGCAGAAATGATACACTAATCCCGACTGGAAACTAGAATTCTATGACAAGCTTAGCCCATATGGTACAATTTGACCTCTCTTGTCTCCCGCTCGGAGATTATTATCCCTGCTAAGCGAGAATTTCCGAGCACCTCAGCCAAGGTTTACCGAAGGCGGCAGGATATACTGAATAGCCATGACGATCGTTTTGACTTTTTTGAGCATAAAAATAATGCAGAGGGAAAAGGGCCTGATTATATTCACGTTTATTATATTTTATTCATTTACTCTGCGAAGAATAAATTAACGTAAACTGAATAATAGATTAAACAATAACCGATTACAGGGTTACTGCAACAGCGTAGCCAATATTCCTCTTCACAGTTCCCGGCACCATCTTAAAAGGTAGCCGTGCCTTTGCATTGAAGTGAGGCGAACGGTGAGATTAAATGCAGAGACGAAGCTCACCGTTCGTCTCAAAGGCGCTACCTTTCAAGATGGCGCAGGGAACTGTGGAGGTGACAATTGCTGCCAGCCCATATTCTACTTTATTCTTGATAGTATGAACATCACTTTGTCTACTAGCGTCCAGGGGTACTCCATCCAGTGTAGGAACTTTAAAGGCTATGTATCGCTCGTAACCAATGGCGTCATTAACTACAACTCCCAGAACCTGTTTCTATATTTTTTTCTCCAGTTAATTAGCATCAATTGTCTTGACTTTTCTCACGAAGGAATACAAATTTGAATGAGAAAGAAAATTCGCGAAGCATTTTGGTAGTGGTAGTATAATGACTTCATCGTGCAAACGACCCATTCCTCGTATATGTTTGAAAACCATTGACTCAAGTCAAAACAGTAGATTGACTTCATGCTAAAATTGTATCATATATCCTTTAATGTTTTCACATGATATCACTGATAGCTGTTATTACATTTGAGCTTACATTTTGGTTTCATTGTACGATTTTTGAAGTCATGTAAGCAAGGACGATGGCAAAGTATACAATGCAAAAGTCATTTAATAAAGCAGTATCTATTCATTCAAGAATATCCTATAATATAATTGATACCTATAGTTTAAACGAATCTTGGCTACATGAATGATAATTGACCCAAAACGCTAATGTTTCTGTCAACACCGAAGGTTTGTGTTTTCCGGATTTCTTCACTCTAAAACAAGTAAATAAATTTAGCGCAAGATTCATTGCATTCCTGTCTTAATGGGACACTATCTTATCGCCGACATAGTGTAATTAGTTCCAGTTGCCGTGCGAAAATGGCGATGGAAGTCATCTCCTTGTCAAAGACTTTCCCCTACTAATTTATCATTGAATTTCTAGTGTTCAAAAACTAGTCTTCGGTTTCTGAGAATTAAACAGAAGCATGTTAAGTATTGCAGGCATTTGCGAAAACAGGCCCCATATTCTAAAACATTTATTTTCTTTGCCCTTTTTTGGGGATCATTTTCAAGCCAGCCCCGTGTAAAGTCAGGGTAGCACGATCTTCATAAGTAGAGTCTGAATAGCATGTTGTCCAAACATCAAACACATTCTTCATAAGCTTTATTTCCACATAGATTATGATTTCCATATAGGGCTATATCAAAAGCTGGGGTTTTTTTTATATATATTTCCTTTTCACGGTAATTTTCTTTCGTTCTTTTTATTTTTATTTTTTGTTTTTTAGTTCTTTTAACAGATAGCCTGCATAGCGGATTAGAGTAGAATTGCGGCCGTAGTAGAGTTGACTGACGGAGGGAATAGAGAGTGAATCAAGAATAAAGGCTTTTCTCACAAAAGTTGAACTTAACTTTGCTTGAAAAAAGTGCTCATATTTTAAATCCTAATAATTTCCAGGAATTCATGGATATTTATAGCTATAATTAACTAATTAGTTGTAATAATTATGATTAATGTTTAGGGGCCAGCGAAACTCGCCATTTGTTTATAAACTTGCACTGATTCACAATTCAAGTTCGTTGATTGCTATTTCTTCAAAATTGTAATAAACTGAAGTTATTTTAGTTATTTTTTTAACACAAACAGTAGCTTACTTTTATGTCAGTTAACTTTTATGTAAAAAAAGTTGAAAAAAAAGTATGGAACTACCATATCTATTGATAAGAATGAATCCATTAATTTGTGTGCCTTCCTAACCTTTCGTGGTATAATTTTTTTTTAGGTAAATTAGTTAAATGCACAAAGACATCTTGTACTCTACAAGGCGAAATCTGTGTTGGAATTAAATACGGTAGGCCTTTGTGTATATGTCCGCCTAAATGCAAGATCAAAGTCCCTGCCATAGAACTACGGTATATGTGTGGATCAGATGGTTATTCATATCGAAATCTTTGTGAACTGGACCGAACTGCTTGCTTGTTGGGTATCAGTATTCAACCACTATATTTGGGAAAATGCTTAAAAGGTAAATATATCCCATATTGAGACATAATCTCCTATGTCATAACATATAAGGGGCACTTGGATGAAAACGCCCCAAATTTTCAGAGTCCGAATRATTGAATTTTTTAAGGATAATTTAACTCAATTTTGATTATGTAAACAAGAACCACTTGCAGTTGAGAAATTTTGGGTTAAAAGGGAAAAGAACAATAGGGTTGAGTAAATGACGTCATTTACTCACAATATGTATGCTAAATAAAACTGATGATTTTTTTCTGACACATTTTACTGTGAAGAAAATATGATGCTTGGCTACGATTGGGGCCATATTTTTGTCCAATTTTAATCCATTTCCAAGTGCCCCTTTAAGTAGTTTTGTCGAACGTTTTCGAACTTAACAGTTCATCTTCAGGACTAAATTGAATTATAAGTTCGAAAACGTTCGACAAAACTACTTAAATAGTAACCTTCAAATTATATGATATCCCATATTATGCGTCTTTACTCCAAGTTAGATCATCTAAGAGCGCCTAAGATTGCCTTTATCAGATCGTCTTAGATTGCCTAAGATTGTCTTAGTCTCCCTTTTCCTGCCTTAGTGTGGCCTAGTTTAACGCAATTATGCCGCCCTATATCACCTAACTTTTATGCCCCATTTTTTGGAACATTTCTTAGTTGGCCTATGATTGCCATATATCGCCTTTCCTCGGGGCAGGATAAAAACCCAAAGTAAGCTCATTTTATGTGAAGATGAAATTGCGAAGTATGGTGTACACGTCGATATTTTGAAGGGAAAAAAAGCTGGATGTTTTATTCGATTGGTTCGGGCAAGAAGAAATTACAAATTGTTTCGACATAAAATATTCCAATTGCCGTTTTTGGACAGGTTCCCTACATGTAAGTCTCAATCATCAGTCCAAACAAAACTTCACCGCTGGGTCTAGAGTTGAACTGAATTGTCAATTCACTGGCAAACCCCAAAAAGTTGAGTGGTCAAAACAAGGTTTTGCTAATCTTCCCAGTAGCGCCAGAGTGCGTGGAAGGTCTTTAGAATTCTTGAAAATTTCCAAGGACGACGCTGGGACGTATGTCTGTCGTGCATCAGATGCTTTAGGAAAACAAGCAAGTACAACTATTGATGTTACTATAAAAGGTAGGCGAAACTGATATTTAATTGTCGAATGCAACTAACAGCACGATACAAGATCGCCCATAGATGTTAACCTGGGTGGTGATTGCGTGTCTTGAGCCGGCTGCGCCAGAATTTGGAATTAATAGAATAAATAGCGAGACCTTTGCGAAGCTTCACGGTGCCGTCCCTTGCAGCTGTAAAAGATGTTTTGGAGGTCTACATTTTATTGGTGCCAAATCTGTCCATATGTCCGATAAAGGAATTGTTCGTTAACTTAGTCTGTAAACACTGTCCAGTTTACTCAATAAATAATTACCTAACAATATGCCAATATACATTATTTTGTTTAACAGATGGTTTGGATTATGCACAAAGGCCTTTAGCCGAATATTTTTCCAAGTTTTCACAGCATACTCCCAGCACGATGTAATAATTTGGCGATTTCTCTGCTTCAAAAGCTTCTTAATACATCCTTTTCCAAGTTATGGGAGTCTAAAGCTAGAGAAGGAAATCCTTATCTTATCATCCCCAAAGTCTTGAATAAACATATCATCTAGCATTATAATATGAATAGATTTTGGGGGCTGGGGGATGAGACTAAACAAGAAAGTGGACATGAACGTTTTCGGCTACCAAATACAATACCTCTTTCTCTTTCATACTTATTTTCGTTACATTATTATTTTGTTTCCCTTTTTTTTTTTTTTAATCTTTTGGATTGTCTCTCGAACTAAAATGCGACTGCATGACAAGTATAAATGCAGTTAAACAAAGTCAATAAGTTGCTTTGTGTATATATATTTGCTTAGCAAATTTTAATCCAAAGGCAGACTAGCACTAGTTGATATTTTAATACCATGTTTTCTTAGGTCCATGCGCAGCCGTTTTAGCATACATTCTCTGTGGATGATCCTTTTTAAGTCTCTATAAGATGAATACTTCAAAGACACTTCCATTTCCTGTACTAATGGGTGTTTTCACAAGGGATTTTCTGTGCCGGGTCCAGCACGTTTTGGCAAACATGCCCAACAGACTGCCTTTAT